TATATATATATATATATATATATATATATATGAAATCCATCATCTAAAAAACTATCTTTACACAGAAGAAGCCTCTCCTCAGCATGATGATGCCACCAACGTGTTTGACCATGGGAGGGGTGTGTTAAAACTGATTTCTACTGATGGGTTTTTACATTATTGCTTTGCATGTAGGTCAAAAAATGTAAGAGTTTGTCTCATCTGACCTCAATATTCTCTGTCACACCTGCTTTGTCTGTTGTATGAGAATGTTAATGTCTTTCTTTCAGAAATATCTAACTTTTTATCATCATTTCAATAAGGCCAGATTTGTAAAAGTATGAATAGTAATCCTCTTACTGAGGCTCAGATTCTCAGTAGCTCCTTCAAAAAAAATATTTTTTTTCTTGTAGTTATAGAAGAATAAATTACACAGAGAGGGACTCTTACAAGCTAAGAACTGAAAATGTTTTGAGGCACTTTTTGATTATTTAGGGGCAATGAAGCAAAAAGAGTAAAATACAAATGCATTACACACCTTTCAAAGATAACACAATAAATTATTCCCCTTCGTAGTTATATACTTATTTATGTTGCTGTAAAAAGAATTAAAAAATATTTTATTTTTGCGTTTGCAAGGTCACTAAATTTGAATGAAAAAAAAAACTTTTTGAAAATAAAACTTCAGAAAGGGAAAAAAGGTTTTGAAAAACAGTTTAAGACGCTATTTCTATGCCACAGTAACATGGGGAAACAAGAGAAGATACTGATTTGAGGAACATCTGCTCCTCTTTTATAACAATCTGTCGTTAATTTGATTTGTGGAGTAATTTTAGAAGGTGGAATGATCATGATAAAATTAAGTTAGCTGTTTGTTTTCTGCTTGTGTATAATTCAAAAAGCAAAGTGCTTTATGCAAAATGATACAAAAAAAAAACTAATTATGCAATAAAAGCTGTTTGCAGTTATTTAGCATGCATTAACCTAAAAAAAAAATAGTTTGCAGATTATAAATCCCATTTTCAACAATCTTTAACTACTAATACCTTTACCATGACAAAGATCCCTTGCGCTCATTTAGACTCAGAACAAAGAGTTTGCAGATATATTTTGCAGGTTTTGCACATCTTGCAGTGCCTGAGCTAACTGCAATCTCCTGGCAGAGGGAGCCTAAACACTTGGACGTTTTACTTGTTTTAATATAGCATAGTGGGTGAGTAAATCTCTTCGAGCACCATCTCTACTCTCCAAGAACAGGCTGTTCAGTCCACTTTATCAAAGACTCACAGAAAAAAAAATGCTTTAGAAATCGTGTTCACTGGGATCTGTAAGATGTTTCATTAATATTCAGCTCTCTGCTGTTTTTTTCATTTATTTTTTCCAGCAGCCATCATGATTAAAATAAATACACATGAGAGGGAGAAGTGTCTGCTGCAGTAATGGAGATTAAGATGTCTGCTGCTCAGCCATGCAGAGTGAATGAAGAGAGGCAGTCCCTGATGGAGGACTAAGCATGCTTTAGGTCTGTTTGTTTTGGAGGGCTTTACACTTCATGGTTCTGCTGGTTTGTGGTTGGCTCTGCGTGGGTGCCACGTTTTCGAAACCTGGCCTGGGCTTATTTTGCATGGACTTTAGATGTTCTCTGTGTGCATGTGTGGGTTCTCTCTGGGTACTCTTCTCACAGCCCCCCCCAAAAAACCATAACTGGCTGGAACTGGCCTAAGATATAAGCCTATGAAAGTGTGGGGCAGGGTGTAGCCCTCTTCCAACCCCTACAGCTCTACAGGCAGGTATTTGTGATGAGTGGATGGTTGGATAATGCTGAGTCACTGTGCTGTTACATCAAAACAATAAAGGTTAAACTATTAGAGAGGCACTAGGAAACTAGTAGTCTGGCCGGCTATTAAGTCTCAAGACTCTTTGCCTACGGTGGCCCACAGGTGTCAACACTAATACAAAAGCCGCAACACAACTACAAACAGTAATTACAAAGGCTGCCACAAAACGTGTTCCAACTTTTGTATTTGTGTTGCGGTTTTTGTGTTAGTGTTGACACCTCTGGGCCACCATACCGGTCTAATACAGACTGAACCAATCACGTGGAAGGCGGGCCCATAATCAACGTCACTTTTCTGTAACCATAACAGTCAAGATTGCAGGAGCACAGAGCAATGTTTTAATGAGTACTTTTATTATATTCCTAATTAGCTCAATATAACTTAAGTTAAACAACTGTCTGCTGTGAGAGATTTTCTTTAAACATTTTTGCTAAACATTGGTGGTTATCTACGGAAGAGGATTAGGGCCACTGGGATAAAAAAAAAAAAGTTTACTAATTTTTAAATTTTATTTCAGTTTAACATGGGAAAAAAAGTCAGAATTCTGACTTTTTTCCTATACTAAATTGAAATAACATTGAAAAATTAGTAAACTTTTTTTTTTTTCAGAATTCTAAGAAAAAAAGTCAGAATTCTGAGATTAAAGTCAGAATTCTGACTTTTTTTCTTAGAATTCTGACTTTAGATGACGGTAGACTGTAGATGGGCACCATAAAGGAAGAGATGTGGGAGCACTCAGCTTCACTGACAAAGATGTGAGTTGTTTGAGAGGGCCAGTGACACATTGGTGGAAAATGAAGGAATTAGGCAACTTTTTACGTGCCTGAGGGGTCCCCTCATTAATAGAGGAGCAGAAGGTCATTAAAATAAGAGAGCAAGTCTCTAAAACAGACATGGCTATGGCTTGATGCTAACATGTTTGTTATCTGTCAGAATTCTGAGAAAAAAGTCAGAATTCTGAGAAAAAAATTCAGAATTCTGACTTTTTTCCTATACTAAATTGAAATAAAATTTAAAAATTAGTCAACTTTTTTTTTCCCAGAGGCCCTAATCCTCTTCCGTACCGTAGTTATCTGATATGTTCTAATGTGTTTTCTCTAACTGTTTGCCCCGTCTTTAAATTAGGCTCTACATCCTCCTTTCCAGACTAGCAAGCCTGGCCAGCTTTAAAAGAAAATGACAGCAAACATAAATAGTATTGCCTACTTTTGATAAACTGCTTAACCCAGGTTCACATAAAAGAAAATAAAAAAATACTTAAGTTTGATCAACTTTTTTCTCACATTATTTCTTCCTTTTAAAAGTTTTAAAAGGTGAACATACTATTTCAAATAAACCAGATAAAAAATAACCTAAAACAGCTTCAGTCGAACTAATGTTAAAGATTTCAATCATTATGCCAAAGCAATTTTTTATTTTTACTTAAAATATGCTAAAGAGAACTTTATAGTTATGCTGCTATAGGCTTAGAGTGCTGAAGGGCATAAGGACAACTTTTCATCATTTTGCTTCATTCTATCTCTTTTCTCCAATTCCACAGTATTTGTTAGTTCAACTCTATATTCTTTCTGCTTTTCCCATCATAGTACTTTTTTCGGGTCAGCTCCTGTTTGGCTGTAATTCAATTCTCAGGAGAAATATCAGCTGGGCTGCTGCCATTAATACCTTAGATTATAGATGATTTCCTGTTTTCAGTGCTTAGTCCTGTTTCTCTCGAGGCATACATAATTATGGGCTCAGATTTTACTGTGACTAATGTGCTCTCTTTCATCCTTTTGACATGAAAACTGGCTCAGAGTGCATCTGCTCAACTGTTTCTTTCCCAGAAGGAACCACCTGTAAAGCTGGTTCACAATTACCTTTTCTAACATAGAAACTATTTATCGACCAGTGCTTCTATGTTTCTCTCATATTTCTTCTTCTGTCTCCTTGAACCAGAGTCGGCCTCGGCGGATTGCCGCTCACAGTTAGCCTAGTTCTGCTGGAGGTTTCTTCCTTCTAAAAGGAAGTGTTTTTCTCTCTCCACTGTAGCTACATGCATGCTTGTTGTGAGGAATTGCTAAGGAGTCAGAGTTGATGCAGTCAGCTGGTTTCCCTTAGATAGAAAAATTTTTACCAATCTGACTGTATGATCTGGTTGAATAGTCCCTGTAAAGTGCCAGTTGACGTGTTGTGAATTGGCTCTATATAAATACACTGAGTTGAATAGACCCGAATAAAGTTGCCTTGCCTCGCTCCACCCACTTTATTATGACCTATCTATATTTTCTTTTCTGGGGATTTATTTTGCCCCCAAACTTCCAACTTCATTTCTCCTGAAGCTCCTGCTGAGTTATGCAGGGCTGATGAGAAACAAAATCCAGGTCAGCCACACTGTCTAAGACTTGCTTTCCCAGAAATTACAGTATGTTGAAGGAGGAGAGGCTGTATAAATAATTAGTCATGCTTCCATGTTGCTGTTGAGATAAAGGGAGGACATAAACAAAGACCAAAGCGCAGTAAAAGTGATGAATGTGTTTAAAAGTTCAGTGCATAAAACTTGACCAAATGTTGTTCTTGCTGTTTATGTTGAAAACCAAAAATTACTTAGAGGAAGAAATGTGGAGCTGGGTTAACAGGTGTGAACGTAAAAGCTGGTCATGGAACATAAATGATCTAATATCTAAAACAAATCTGGTTTATTTTAGGAGTTTGACCTTTTTCTTTATGTATCTGTCTGCTTTCTCTGTAAACAAAACTGCACATCTATTGGTATTTTAGTGTCCTTGTTGGCTCACCTCTGCGCTCGTGATGATATTTCCACACAAACTCTCCCATCCCAGCCGCAGAAGGGGTCTCTTGCGAATACGCAATCATAACAGGAAGTATATCTCTGGCAGGTAGACATTGGTACCTGGATCAGACCAGAGTGGGAGCCGATGTAGATGCTCCTCTAACAAACAAAAAAGAAAAAAAAGTTGAAGTATGCAACCGTATGTTGAATCTGTGTGTTTCATGCTTGCATTTATCTAATTTTATTCTAAGCAGTGGTGTGTTTAGGGTCAGTGCTGATTTTCTGCCACATGTAGTATTTTGCATTTAGAACAAATAGTAACATTTTACTGTTATCTAAGCAGAACCTTCTCCCACATAGAATAGAACTTAACTTTATTGTCATTACACTGTCATAAATACAAGCAATGAAATTAACTCTCTGCATGTAACCCATCCCCCTGGGGAGCAGTCGGTTGCCATAGTGTGACGCCCGGGGAGCAGTGTGGGGTTAAGGGTCTTGCCCAGAGACCCAGAGTGGCAGTTTGTGGGAGTGGGGCTTGAACTCAGAACCTCAGGGACCCAAGCGCAATGCCACCACTCCCCCCGGTAGATCATGTCCCTAAGGAATCTCCTCCTAGACCTGGATTAAAGCATCTACCAACTCTTGGACAGCCTGTGGTGCAACGTGACGCTGGTGGACAGATCGAGACATGGGCCGTTTCTCAATATGCGTTCTTGAGCATTCTCGTGTGCTCGTGTACTCGTGACACAGTCATCAGCCTCAGCCCGAGTACCGTTCCAATTCTCAAGAACGCACCAAATCCCCGGATGTTGTTCTCGCCCCGCCCTCTTTATCGAGCATGCATCAGAGCAGACTTGTGCGTTCTTCAGACTGACCGCTTTCCCAGAATGCCCCGCGGCCGCAGCTTGATTCGAGACAGCGCTCACAGTGGTAAGTTAAACATTCCCTTTTCTGCTGCTGTTGTTCTTCAAAAGTACGTTTTGAAATCGTTTGAGGCGATAACATTATACATTGAAGCCTCCCTGTGTGGCCTGTTTACAGAGTTAGAGCGAAATTTTAAAAAAAAAGTCCGACGTTGAGCGGACCAGAGTGACCAGCAGACCTCCGAGGGTAACCGCAGCCAGGGCTAATGTTACCCCGTCTGTAGTGCACTTCTCTCGGTCTAGTTATGTGTGAACTACCGCTCGGTTTTTTGCTTTAATTCGGCCAAACATTGGTTCTGTAATTTTTTTTAATGTTTTTTAAGCTTTAGAAATTAAAAATATTGTTTTCAAAATGTTTTGTGTAGGGAATATATAGTTTTGACTGTTAAAGAAAGGCTAAAGAACGTTGCATGTGATGACGTCACGAGTACGCTTCTGTTCCAACACACATACGTGCTCACGTGCCTTCGTTCTCGTCAAGTCCGATCTTTCTGCGTTCTCGCCAAGAACGGACTTGACGAGAATGCGAGTACGTACTCGCATTCTCGTGAATTGAGAAACGGCCATGATGTTCCCCTAAGTGCTAAAGGAAGATGTTATGCTGGATCACTTTCAGGTGTGTCAGATTAAAAGGGATTTAATACATTTTGATTCTTTCGATTTTGTCACAACTATACAACTTTACAGTCTGAAGCCCTAAAGGTTACACGATATTGTTCAATGTGGGTTTAGAGATAAATTAAAAGACCTCTTATTTAATTCTGTTAGGAACAAAGGGATTACTCAAGACTGATGCACGTTCTATCTGTAAATACCTGGACTGTAGATATCACCATGCTCTCTATTGGCTGTGGTTTAGCAAATATCTGCAGCTCCTCTATGATATGCATCTCTCCATCCACTGACACAGCTCTGTGCAACCACCCATCATCTACAGGCCAAGACAAGACAGGTATTAAACCAAGATGGTGGAGAATTAAAATCAGTTCCTGATGGGACATGCATGAACCTCACCTGTTCCCAGAAACAAGACAGTGTAAAGGTTTCCATCCAGTGCCAGCTCTTTGTGGACGGCTATCTTGACGTAGTTGACGCTCCTCTTGAACATGAGCGGCACCAGGCCAATCGGATGCACCTGCTTAGCCATCAGTGGGTGCCTCCTGGCAAATGTGAGGACGCTGTCTGGGAGGTCTCGAGAGGAGTTTATGCCCTGGGATCTATGTAGGTCTGTTATACACTGCAGAGAAAAACGTAGCATCAGTATTTACCTACAGAGGGTGGTTTAATCTTTCATAGGTAGAATTGGAGGATGAAACTTACCGATCCAGGTCTTGGCTCCGGAACCTTCCCTGTGTATTCCCGCCACTTTGAATCCTGCACCTCCATGTATGGTCCTTCAAACACTCTTCGCACATCTGAGAAGGCGTATTGGCAGATGGCAGATGCTTTGATATTCTTCCTGAAATATAATCCAACACCCCAAAGACATGTCAAGAGGACAGCTGTCAGCATTGATGATTTAGACTTGGAAAAAAAAAAAACCTGAAAGATCTAAGAAGGAGCTGCCGCCAACAAGATCCACTTTCAGACACAGTACAGATCATCAATGACAAGTCAAAGGTTAGCAAGGAGTTATCATGCTTATCCAAAAAAGACTTCCAGCCACAATAAAAGCTAAGATTTTATGAAAGTGGAGAGAAGATAAAAGTAGTTTGTCACCAGTATCGAATCCCATCATCCCTTTATTCTTCAAACCAAATTTGCCAAACTAAAAAAACAATCTCCTTTGAGTCATGATCAACACCTATCCATTGTGGGAGTGGGTTTCAGTGCTACACCTTTGAAAGGACCAGAGCAAAATCTGGTAACCTCAAACCAGGTGACTCTGTATAGTCTGATGCCCTGAAGGTGAGATTAGTAAACTGGGGGAGTAAGAGGAGGGAATAAAGATCCTTAAACCCATTGTGTGGCCACGTCAGCCATCAGAAGCATTTTGTGAGGAAAAATGAGAACAAAGTGAAACCGGAGTCAGTCTTCAAACATCAAAACCAGTGAACAGTGTTTGCTTCAGGGGCTTACTCATTCTTCCACACTTGAGCTGATGTTCAGCTTACTGGGGGGCGGGTGAATAAATAATTTCCACTTTAATTAATACCATTAAATCTCATTCAATTACAGATAACTCCTTTTCTGATGGAAAACATAGGTTCATTAATTTTATCCAAACTTATCTAGCAGAAATAGGAAGATACCAATCCCTAGTGGCTTTTACAAATGGCTGCTTTTGCCTTATAATCAGTGCAGATCTTCAAACTATTCTGCTAAAATTTGAAAACCAAATTGTTCATGAATGATTTTCTTGATTGTATGATGGACAGGTACGCTGGAAAAAATGGAAATCTAGATAAGTTTTTTTTTCCTAAAATAAGTGCATTTACTCCTTGATTGAGGAGGTAAAAGAGATATTTTGCCAATGGAACAAGACAAATTACATTTAAAATAAGAAAACACAATTGCATTGTCTTGTTTTAAGTGCATTTTATCTAAATAACTTCTTTTAAGAGTAAAAATACTCATTCCATTGGCAAAGCATTTCATTTACCCACTCAAATTAAGAGTAAATACACTTAATTTAAGAAATGTTTATTTATTTCTAGATCATTTTTACAGTGTAAAAGATTTGTAAAACTTAGGAAGGTGATTTGGTCACTGAAATCAGAGGGAGGGATTTAGAAGTTTCAATCCTGATAATAAATAATATTGTTGTAAATTAATATTGGATAACTAGAAATAAATAGTTGTCATGAGACACTGGAAATAACAAGATCCTGGATATAAAAGGGTTAGTAGAAATTTCTATGTAAGGTGACCAGGTTCTTGTTAACAATTTATTTATGGTCCTTTATTCTTGTGTTCAATTTTCAACTCTTCTATAGAGCAATAGACTTGTTTAAATCCTATTTGGACAGGGACATTTTTATTTCTGCAGGTAAAGGTTAATCAGAGACCATAAATATCATGTGGCGTTGCCCAAGGATCCATCTACGGTTCCCTCCAATTCAATATCTACATGGTCCCCCTAACTCAGATCTTAATACAACATCAGTTTCTAAGTATGGAGATGACACACAGTTGTATATTACAACCTCTCTGGTGACAATTAACTCATTCAGCTCTTGGTAAATGCAAAAAAAAGCAGATAACACAGGAATGTGCCGACAAATTCTTCAGTTTAATCAAAGTAAAAGTGAAGTAATATTTTTTTAACCAAAAGAGGAGCATTCAAAAGTTAGCACACAGCTTGAGCTGAACCAGCTAGAAACAACCAATTGGGCTCACTGCAACTCTGTCTTCACAGGTAGAAGACTGGATCAGACAGATGTAGTTGATCTAAAATGTTGATGTCTGCATCCTTACTACAACTAAAAAAATGGAGCCTCATTCCAAAGTCATTCCACTGGCTCCCAATATCTCAGAGAAAAGACTCTAAATCCTTCTGTTAGTCTATAAATCACTGAAAGGCTTAGCTCTAAAATATGTTCCAGTCTTTTTACCAGTGCACCTACTACCCAGACCTCTCAGGTCTTTTGGATCAGATCCACTCTGCATACAAAGACCCAGAACGTTTTCTGTTTTTCTCATTTACGGCATTTTGAATTGTTTTGCCACTTACATAAATAAATTTGGAAGGTCACATGTTTTTGGTGCTGCTATGTGATACGCAGGTAGGTCTTTCCTGTGTGTGGGGATGCTGGTGGCTGTTGTTGCTCATCTGCAAATGTTTTGGTATCATTACGGTAAATGTTTTGACCTTCATGGGATGTTGGGATCTAGACTCTAGAAAGACACATTCTCAATGGATGGGGAGGCAGTTTTTTTAAGTGGAGCTTAAGCGGCTACTCTGATGTAAGGACCTGGGATGTTAGACTGACATTCAACATTTTCTAAAGTACATCATATATTAAAAGAGATTTTCTCTCCAGGAAAAGCTGGGGCCTCAAAAGGAAGATGGATGTAAAATCTTAGATTTAATGCCAGGCAGAAATAACAAAGCTATAAGGATAAACAATAGTAAACTATCCAACTTGAAAACAATATAATGTGGATCTAAACAAGCTAGAGAGATCATTTCAACCAAAGTATTTATACTGGCTTTAATTAAGATAAGATCTCTTTTTAGGAAAATAATTTTTAATCAATGACTTAATTACTCAGCAAAATCTTGATTTTATGTTTCTAACAGAGACATGGCTGGATGAAAATAATGAGATTTTATTGGAGATCGCACCACCCAATTATAATTTTCTCCATCAGAACATACTGCGTAAAAAGGGGACTCATTACTCTGTTTAGTGACTCAATACAGAGTAGAAAAGGAATCCTGGGTGGCTTTGAATCTTTTCAATATCCTGCTGTGCAAGTGCAAGGCCTTGTTCAAGGCATGTTTGTAGGTCTCCAAAGTCCAAAACAAATTTTTTTAATTATTTAAATCAACTTTTATCTGTGATATGTATTGAACATGACTACTTAATTTTTGTGAGGGACTTTAATGTAGATGTTGACAACCCTGAATTTTTCCCACTGATCTAATTTAATCTAATAAGAAAACTTTTTATCATGGGCAGTGCAATTGAAAACTTTACCCAGGGTTCCCCATGGCTACCACTTTACCCAGTAACTCAGTAGATGAGCTAGTTGATCATTTTTATTCTAAAGTTGCAGACATCATTGTTTCCATTGTTCCAGTTAGAGGAAAAGTTGTCTCTGGGAAGATGAAATCTCATGGAGCAGTGAGAAAAGAAAAGAGTAAGTAATGAAATGCCGAACAAAGGTGGCAAAAGAATGGACTCCAAGTTTACTATAAAATCTATAAAGAGAAACTTCACAGATATAATTTACAATTAAAAGATCAAAGAGAATCTTTCTTCTCTGAGATTGTCAAAAAAAAACATTAACAAAACTCGCACCTTATTTGCCACAGTCAACAGGTCGACAAAACCTCCTATTTCTGTGGCCAATGAACTCCACTCTAAAAAGGCCCGCAATGACTTGGCAAAGTTTTTTACTGAGAAAATACAAGGTATTAGAAAAACAGACTGCACATCAATGTCAATTCCAGTATCAATACTGTCTTCAATTAGAATAAACTCAGTTGAAATGCCCCAATTCTTTAAAATAAACTACAAAAGTTTAGAAGAAACTGTAGGCAGCTCAGCTACTGGGTCTCCCTTTCTGCTAAAGCAAATCCTACCTGAAGGAAAGAGCCTTTTATATGTCAGTAGGGGATTTTAATCAGAGAAAAATCACATGCAGGGTTCCTCAAGGCTCCATTCTGGAACCCCTCCTATTTAAAATCTACAATCTTGGTGTCATGATGGACTCAGACCTGAACCTTCAGAGGCTTATAAAGGCAGTTACTAAGTCAGCTTTTTATCACCTGAAGAACATCTCCAGGATTAAAGGACTAATGTCCAAGCAGGATCTAGAAAAACTCACTCATACATTTATCTTTAGTAGGATCGGTCACTGCAACAGTGTCTTTATTTCCTGAAAAGTCCATCATACAGCTGCAGCTGATCCAAAACACTGCTGCCCATGTTCTCACTAGAACTAAGAAAGTAGAGCACATCAGCCCATTTCTGAAGTCCTTCCATTGGCTCCCTGTAGCTCAAAAAATAGACTTTAAAAACCTTCTGTTAGTCATTAATCACTAAAGGAATCAGCACCAAATGCATAACAGATTTGTTGTCAGTGTATCAACGTTTGGTTCTAGGTCTGGGTGGACAGAGTAGGCTTAAATAATTACCACAGGTCCTATTTTTTTAGCAGTTATTATTTTGAATAGTGAAACTTTAAAAACAACGAATAAAAGGCAGTGAAAAAAAACTATTTATGTTTCTTTTATTTTAGGCACTAGGATGACTTAAACTTTTAAGTAAAAATATAAATTCTTACCATTCCAAACCAAAGATACCATAAAATACGCTGCTTTGAACATCCCTCCCTTGCAGGACAAACACGTCACGGAGGATATTGAGATGCAGCTCATATTCTGGGACTGAACACACCATTCTAGCCTTAAGAAAGGTGGTCCACTTCCGCTGCAGTGTCCTCTGGCCACCCCAGTCATTCTGCAAACACAGGAGACAGTAGATGAATTAGAGAAAAGACTGGGTGGGTAAAAGTATTTATATGCACTGTAACTACATATATCCAATTAAACACTAAAACTTCCAATCTATTAATTCACTACACACCATTAAAGTTCTAAAACAAACGATTACTGCTAAAGAAACTGTATGAATGTATGAATGTAGTCTATTAGAACTATTATATTTTTTCTCTGTGATTGTTTTTTCTCATATCTTGCACTTCTAAGCCAGACTCAAAACCCATCTGTTCCAGCTCGCTTATCTGTGAATATACTGCTCTTTTCCCTATCCATAATTGTTTTTTGTTCTCTGTTGTTTTTTGTTCCTGTATCTGTATTTTGTATTTTCATCTCTTTTTATTTATTCTTTTGTATTATTTGTAAAGTGACCTTGAGTGTCTAGAAAGGCGCTGTTAAATAAAATGTATTATTATTATTATTATTATTCTAGCTTTTTTGTGTCTTTGTCTACTCTTTTTCTGGTTATACTTTTTTCAGTGCATCATCTGACTTTTATTCTGGATCTGTTCCCCACCCTTATAACATAATGGGAAGTTTGGTGGAAGAAAAAGTGCTGTACAGGTACATCTGGAATGCCTTTTCAGGCTTGATTATACTTGTGAAGCAAAGCTCATTCAAAAACATGAAGATTAAAAAAAGACTACAAAGACTGCTGCTCAGTTGTCTGAAATACTCTTCAGATATAAATACTATTTTGCATTTTATGAAGAAAAAGAAAGTCTCAGAGTGTAGGAAGAACAAAATCATAAACACTTCGATGGTTATGAAGGCATTCTCACTTTTAGTAGTGATTTAAAGAGCCGTGCCCTCTGGTGGGGTTGGCACACAGAGCTTTATTAAGGACAAAGTCAACGCAGCTTTCTACACAGCAAAAAATGTTAATCCTAATAAGTCACTTTTTCCTAAAATAAGTGCATTTTTTCTTTAATTGAAAAGGTAAGTGAGACACTTTGCCAATGGAACAAGACAATTTACAATTTTTGGTTTATTTCAAGTGCATATTATCAAATTATCTTATTTTCAGAGTAAAAATACTAATTACGTTGGCAGATCATCTAATTTACCTACTCAAATTAAGAGTAAATACACTTAGTTTTAGAAGTTTTGACTTATTTCTGGATTTTTTTTTTGCAGTGTATTAACCCTTCATGCTTCATTCTACTGACAAAATATGGAAATTCTGATTTCTTTTTCTAGCAGGACTTGCTTCTACTGTCAAAAGTACATAAATACATATTCAGTCAAGCTGATAGATGTCAAAACTACCACTTAAATGTGTTAACATTTCTAGGTATATAAAACTTAATTCTTACTAATATAATTTAGTTCTTTTACTTTCTGAAATTCAGTTTCTGCTAAAAAAAAAAAATGTAATATAGAAAGTATATTATTACAGTTAAGTCAGAGAATGTGATTTTGATCAGGAAAAATATTATTTTAGTGAACTACAAATGGAACAACAGAGAGGAGAGTGCTCTTAATAAATGTAAAAACGGCCTGCCATAGAGACTTTATATAAAACTACGCATTAACTCGAGCAGCAATCTTCTCTTGCACCAACTTCCTCTTCTTTGCCGCTGTAGCGCTGTTTCTCTGTCTTTTCAACACATTCTCCATTTTTTTTTTCATTCCTTCATTAAAATCTATAGTTCCAGCAGTGTGAA